ACTGTTCTTATCTCAACCCACTGGTTTTAATTTTTTTCCGAATCTCCTCCCCAACCCACTGAGAGGGAGGAGGAGTGTGCGAGTGCCTGCGTGGTGTTTGGTCGCTGTCTGTGGTTAAACCATGACACAAGTCTAGGCAAGCTCAGAGATTTTAGCACATCCTATCAGCCTAAACATCCCTCAAGGGGGATTTAAATGAATATTTGAAAGAGAAAAGGGCCTACCTGTCTTTAGCTCCCACAGCACAGCTGCTTGGTGGGAAGTCAGTTAACATAAAACAATTGATCAAATGAATCCTATAGGCTTTAGGACAGTGGACTACAGCAGAATAACAGAATGGCTGAGGTTGGCAAGGACCTCTGGAGGCCATCTGGTCCAAGTTCCCTGCTCAAGCAAGGTCACCTAGAGCCAGTTGCCCAGGACCATGTCCAGATGGCTTTCTTATATCTCTAGGGTGAGAGGCTCCACCACCTCTCTGGGCAACCTGAGTGTTTCCTGATGTTCAGAAGGAACCTGCCATGTTTCAGTTTGTGCCCAGTGCCTCTGGTCCTGTCACTGGGCACCACTGCAAACAACATGGCTCTGTCTTCTTTGCACCCTCCCTTCAGGTCTTTGTATACATTGAAGATGCGCCCTGAGCCTTCTCTTCTCCCAGCTCTCTCAGCCCTTCCTCATAGGAGAGATGCTCCAGGCCCTTCACCACCTCTGTTGCCCTTGGCTGGTCTCTCTCCAGTATGTCCATGTCTGTCCTCTACTGAGGAGCCCAGGACTGGGTACAGTACTCCAGGTGCAGTCTCACCGGTGCTGAGGAGAAGGATTGTTGTGTTTGCTATTTTATAGGCCAGTTCCCTAAGTCCTCCTCTCAGAAGCACCATCTGAATAGCATGTATCAAGAAAAAAGAATACTTTTGCAATCCTTGCAGCAATATTACCTGGTTTGACTACTTCTCTTTGAGGCTCTGGCAGACGAAATACATAGTAGACATAAGATGCCAAGAGGCAGTTCCTCCCATGCTGGTCTTTGCTCAGGTCTTTGCTGTTGTGTAGACTGTTCACGATTGCAACCACAGATTCAAAGGCAAACTGTGAGAAGTTGGCTGTGAAACAAAGGCAAGAATTAGTCTCAGCACTGAAGGTGAGGGCATTCTTTGTACCAACAACAACTAATACTACATGCTTTAATTCAGTGTCTAACCAATTCAGAGCTCTAGACAGCAACTGCTATACCTGATAAGACCCAAGGTCTACATAGGCCAATAACCACTCTTCAGTAAACCCACTGACTTTCAACCCAATCACTGTTACTCCATCACTTTGTGCTACATAAAGGCAGACCGTAAGCATTAATTACCACTACCACTCCAACGTCATGTACCAGTAAATACCTGTCTGGCCAGCTATGACCATGGGCTGTACAGCCAGCTGGAAAAGTTTATCTAGTACCAAATGTAAAAACAAGACAAGAGGTTCAAGGCGTGAAGAATTCAAACAGATAATGCTGAGTTTCAACTCATGTTCCAAAGTAGCCTCTGTAATCTTCTGGTCCACCAGTCGAATGGGGAATGTCACTTGACTTTCCAGAGAACGGCACAGAGTGAAGAACTTCTCCAGGTGATTGTCCTGCAAACATAGTGCACTCACAGTTAACAAAGTTGATATAGTTTAGGCTGCTACTAGCTAAGCAAAGCCTGATTGACCCACCTGATAGGATGAGAGAAAATATTTTCACCTTTCTGGCTTGCAGTGGTGCCTAGCCCTAAAGATCGATTTATAAAGCAGCTGTGACAGCCTTTTGTTTGTTCCCTTTCATGTGGCTTAGATTCAGACTCTGGTTAGATCAGGTTAAAAGCAGAAAAGTTAAAGCCCTCACTAAAGCGATTGCTTCATTTCATGAAGATACTGTTCCCACTCTCTGACAAAACTCTGTCACATCATAGCTCTGTAGTCCCTCTGCCACCCACACCTAAGTTCCAGCTATATACAAGTTACATGCCTTATGAGTATGCCCTACTTTTATTTAAAAACTTGCTGCAAAGGAGTGATGGACCTTCGTCAGACACAAGGCCTCCAGTTGTTAGGACATAGCTACCAGGGTTAACTAGAATGGGATGATGGGTAGGAGACACTGTAAAGCAGCAGAAACAAAATTAAGCTTCTTTGTCTCAAACCAGTCTCCCAATAAGATGGGAAAATCTCCAATTATCTATCATATTTAAATGACCAGAATCATAGAGTCTCATTTAGCACTAAGCTTGTGTCCCATACCACATGGCATTGATGGCTCAGCTGCCTAAAGCATTCCGGCAGTACAACCTGTCCCTGGAGGCAGGGAGGCTCTACATCTCTGCAAATGTGGACATGGTCTGAAATAGCCTTCCAGAAGAGAAGATGCAGGCTGCAGAAAATGGTATTGTGCCCTGCCACTGTCTTTCAAACAGAACCTAAGTAGATTCTTGCTGAGTTGAGAGGACACCAGGCTGCTTATTGCCTGACGTGACTTGCTGCTGAGAGTGCTCATTTGTTCCCTTGTACCAACAGATTTCATTTAATCAAAGCATTTAATTCACTGAGGGTATTATTTCCATAGCTGTTAGTTGTTTTTAAATCTATGTGGGCTTAAACATTTCCATTTCATAAACCTCCTAAGTCAGCCTGGACATCTAAATTCTCTTTGAAATGAAACTACAGCTGTGTGTTACTTCTCATGCATTACCTGAGTGTGAACAGATGAAACAGCTTGCACTTCCACATTGAAAACACCTTTGTGTCCTTCAACCCACTTAATAGGTGGTGTCTGAGATGGAACTTTCTGTGATGGAATAGAAATATGGGAATCATCATCTTCCTTTCAACGATCAAACAGAAAGTCTCTTTACACAGGGGTCTATAGGGTATTCATGCTATTCACTTCATTTTAGATCTCTGAATTCAGTGCGATACAGAGGATCACAGTTAGGCATCTTCTTGTTCTCAAAGACTAGATGGAGAGAAGCTGATGCACTGAACAGGGAAATTTGGAGCACTTCAGCTGGATGCCTAGCACTGACAGTGCGAGTATACATCTTCTGATGGGATCAGGCTCCCCAGGGAGGTGGTGGAGTCATCGTCCCTGGAGGTGTTCAAAAAAGGTTTAGATGTGGTACTTCAAGACATGGTTTAGTAGACATGGTGGCATCAGGTATACAGTTGGACCTGATGATCTTTGAGGTCTCTTCCAACCATAATGATTCTATGATTCTATGATTCTATGATTCTATGATTTTTAACATTAGAAGTTCCCAGTTAAGGCACCACCAAAGGCACTCCATGGTGATGTGGTGCAGTTTTTAACCCACTGGACAGTTTCCTACTTGCCATATTTACTCAGAGGGGACACTTTTCCACCTCAGTAGCAGCACATGATTCCATTTCTCCTCCCTCTCCCACATACCCACAAAAAAATGAGCAAATCATCCTATGGAAGAAAGCAAATTATTGACTTGACAACCTCTAAACAAATATATCACTGATTAGACAGTTTACAAGGATTTGCTTGGATAACTAACTTTAAAATAGACAATATAACCATATAAAATGATAATAACACCAGTGACAATAATAATAACAACATTTTTCTCCAGAGCTTTCCTCTTTTAAAGGAGGCATTGTCTACAAGCAGATAGCAATGTTTGTAAAATGCTTAGGCTGTTCTTCTACATTAGGAAAATACTATCTTTTCATAATTTTCTTTGTTACCTCAGGAGAGTGAATTGAATAGTGGAAAGGCAGCTTATCCAATGCAACATGAAGGCAAAAATGTCCAGTCTGAAGACGATCATTTAATAGAATCGGCAGCCACTGAAACAAATGAAAACATAGCAATATTCATGACTATATATGATTAGAGCTATTTATCTAATTTGTTATGTACAGTCAACAAAACAACAAATGAGATATTGACCCAAGCTTCTCTGCTTTAAATTATTCGACAGTAATTTATTTGCATTTTAAATTCACTGATAGCTACTGTAGAAAAGTGTACAAGACTGCTTTACAAACCATCCATTTCGAAGAAACAAACACAGAGCTTTTCATGTTTGACATATATTTTTCTAACAAATCTACCAGGATTTAGTAGATTCCATATTTTTATTTAGACAATCAAGTATCTTGAATAGTCTGATCCTTGGCTTTGAAGAAAATCAACAGAGTTCAAGTTTTGCTAAGGATAAATTGAACATCTTGGTTGAGGTCACCATAAGGATTAGGGCCAGAATGACTCACCGTAACTCTGTATTGATATTTGGACACATTTAATTTTTCTCCTACTCAAGTCTGAAAAAGGCTGTGCATTTGAGCATCACAGGGCAGAAACATTTTGTATTTAAGTGAACAGAAGCTTGAAAATTAAGTCCTCATCTATCTCAAGTCTTGTTCCTGAATGACAAACTAATCTACTTCTTACTAAGCCCTTTGACACTGGTGGGACTATATCTGTCCATAAAAGAAAGCCCATTTTAAAGGATTCTTAGCAGTGGGATAAAAACCAAATACAACCCTCATAGCAGGAACACATGGAAAGAACTTCTCTGGCCCTACAGTTCAATTGCTGACTGTAGCTCTGGGATGTTTTCAAATCTGAAGTATTACTATCATGTGTGCTTTCCTCTTACTTTAAAATCTCTCCAGTTAAAAATATTGATTGATAAAGAAAAAGGTCAAAGAGACTATGTACAATATGTATTTCTTAAGATAGTCTCAACAGGAAGATAATTAATGCACAAGAATTACATTTTATCTTCTAGATTCTTTCTGGTTTTTAATTTTGATGTGGGTAAAAGACACTTTAGAACATAAATGATATGCCATATAAAACCTAATTACTATATTAGTTGTTACCTCATGTATGAACATGTTAGATAGCAGTAAATAATTGTAATTGCATATGTTTTAGGTGTTTTTTGCAATAAATAGAATTTAACATAATTAGGCAATATGCTATAAAGCATTCCTGTTGCAAATATTTAGGTGCATACTTCACTTCGGTGCATCAGATGAATTTATCAAAGACACTTGTAAAAAGACAATGTAAAATTATAGGACAAGGATGTAACATAACACACGTTGCACCTGGTTTCTGTGAATTAACGTTAAGATCTTCTACCGTTTTTGATGTATTACCATAACCAGGAAGGGAATATATGACAAAATTCTTGACAAGCAAAGAGACTGTTTGCATGGGATGTAGATACACATACTCACACACACACGCACAAACACACACACTCTTATATATCACATGGAACTTACTGAATACCCAAGGAGGGTTTCCACAGATGCTCCTTGCTTTGGCTGGCAGCTGATGTGATAGAATGTGAACAATAGATGGTGTTTCTCTGTGAGTTTTGCTGGCAGCTTAATTTTCACTTCTTCATAAAAGTCAGGGGACCTGTTTAAAAAAACATGCCAAGTACATTTCCAATGTAAATATGAGACTGACCAGAAGGCAAATTTGCAAGTAAGCTTTTAGATACTATGGTTATAAAAACTATAAATCCTGAAAGCAACCTCAGAGCCGAGTTAAACAAAGTACATATATATATGCAGCTAAATTTATAGCTACCTATAGCTTTGATTCAGGAAAAGCATATACGGTATCAGCTGAAATGTTTCAGCTTTCACTCATCTCTATACTTTCAAAAACCTTCAGTCTTAATTTTGGGTTCCAGAATATTTATTGTGTAAATCCTAAATTCCGAGTCCATATTCATGAGAATGAGAATGTCCCTTCCGCTCTTTTGCATCTGTGATTCCATCAAAGTGAATGTTCTTACAAACTTCTGCTGCTGCTTCCTGCTCCTGCTCCTTAATTTTCAGATTAGGAATATTCTCAACTAAACTCTGAAAAGCTCCAAACAAGAAAAGCAATGGTTGCTTATCCAATTATCACTTATTCAAATGCATGTAGCAATCCAAATCAGATATGACAACACATAAAATATAAATGTTTAAAATGGATTAGTACCAGCATTCCTTGATGAACTATGTAGGCTAAGAATCATGTAAAGAGGTCATGACTAACACTTCTTAAGTCATACAAATAGTAACAATACTTACTTATTATGATATGTGATAGCTGTGTATATTTCTTGCACAAATTCTGGACCTGAAGATTTCCCAAAAATTACCTACATTAAGAAGAAAAGAAAGTAACAGCAGTCATGTCATAAATTTTAAGACAGTATCTGAAGGCTGAAAATGACTCTTCAATTTTATCTTAGTATGTTGACATAAATGTCTTATTACCAAGCATCTTCCTCACACACCATTTAGGCTAAAACACCAGGAAAATGGAAGAGAGGTAATTTCCAGAGCCACTGACTAGCTCACACCACAGTCTTCAGTCATGTACTAAAAGTTAGGAACTGCAGGAATAAAGTTATGGTAAGCCTCTTACACATTGTCACACTACCTTTAACTAAAAGCTAAAAATTTGAATTAAAAATATTTTTAGAAGTTTGTTTTTCAGTTGTAGCCTGCTTCTTTAGGGTGAGATCCATCTCACCTAACCTTAAAGGTCCAAAGTTCTTTTTCAATCAGTGAAGAGAAATAGGCATTTTTGGTGCTTGATTTTTTTCCCTCATTTCAGACACAGCCTTGTGCTAAGGTCCTGGAATCCAGCAACTTTAAAGAGAGCCCTCGGAGATAAGCTTAGACAAGGATATCTGTACAGCACAAGACCATTTGTATTGAGATGAAGCTTTCCCACAGTGGAGAGGGATGCCAGACAAACTGTGTCTGTCCTAAGCATTTGTCAGAATCTAATTGTAATATGGGCAGAGTTCAAGGAAACCAACAATGCAGTGTTGTGCAAAAGACAGTGTTATATTCACATGGCACAGCTCCAGCTCTGGAAGAAATGTGGATTGGGAAAACACTGTGCTGATGCTCTGATTTCAGTTCCAGAGCTCATGTGGAGTAAGGCTGTGAAGTATGCACTGTGCAGTGTCAGCAAGCTGATAAAGGCTGGTCAGGTGTCAGTCCTGCCTCCAACATATAGTTGGATTAGAACTCCTCAAAGTATTATTTCCTCTCATTTTTTTCCTCCTCTAACACATAATATCACAAAATATTTTATCCCATTGTCATTCTTAAATACCCAATTACACTGTCTGAAGATTTCCCAAAAAATTCAGGCTGAAGCAGATGTCTGGGTTAGAACACTTTAAACTGAACATCTGAAGGTTGTTAAAGCTGAAGATAGGATCTTATAATAAGAAATGTTGAATAACCTGAACATACACAGTGCTGCCTGCTCTGCTAGTAGTGCACATGTATGCCCTAATACACAGTGTGTTTCAAGCACAGAAAACTCTACCTGCACTGCATGATTGTGCACCCATTCAGATTCAGGCAATGAAGATCCCAACTTCTAACTTCCAGTGTTATACCTGAGTATTTGTGTATATATAGTGCATATGGAGGAGTCACACTGGAAGACAGACTACATCATTCTTAAAAGGTCTCTGAAGCTCTGTAAATTTTACCGTCAGAGTTTCCAACACCACATTGATTTAACACGATGCCACTCTTCTGAAAATAAGATAGGAAGACTTAGATAAGAGGGAGTAATATGTCTCTGTTCCACTCAAGCAACAAGTCTTTCCTGTTGTGGGTAAGGACTACAGCCCTGCTTTCTGATGAGAATTACAAGCTTCACAAGCCCTCTGATGTTAGGCTTCCTAAGGTCCCACTAGCAACTGTGGTGATGGTAAGTAAACAATGAGTTATCTCTTCAGGGGTTCCTCAGGAATGCACGTAAGCAAAAGCCTGCTAGGAAATCTCAGCATTTATTACCGCCATTGCACAGGACGGGTCTTCGCCACACATAAACTGGATCTTGATGGTAATGTTTCTTGCAGAAGCTGGTCGGTTAGCAAAATTCAGTCTCTGAGGGTAAACATAGAGGAGATTTCTGGAAGAAAGAAAAGGAAGAATAAAATAGGTAAATGGCAAGCATTTGCATTTCAAAATGAAGTGCACAAACTAGCATTCTGCTGATTCCTCTCCCTGTCCTTCAATTCCACCTAGATAGTGAAAGCTTTGCCAGAACTCCATTTCAAAAGTTCACAAGGAAAATGTACGTTCTTGCTGTGACACATAGAGCATCCTATGCTTAAGGTTTCTCATACAGTAAGCTATGTCTTTGAGAAGGCAGTCTTCCCATCTCTCTTTGTTTTGGAAATAGGTAATTCCTAGTTACAAATAAATAAATATATTTCCTTGATGTAATGAAAAGCAGGGATCTCTCAAGAAAGCAGCTTCCTTCTCAGCTGTGAAGAATCAGATTTTGGAAGTGATAAGGAATCACCCAGAGCTGATAAAAACAAGTGAACAAGCAAATAAAACCAACAACTGAAGTTCATACGTTCCTAGCTTACAGCAACAAAATGGTATATATTTCTAGACTATGCAAATCAAAAATCAGTATCAATGAACCTGAGTAAATGCAAACAAGAAATTCTAGAAACTGACATTTTTTTTTTGTAATTACTATAAATAATGCTTTAAAATACAGCACACTTTGCTGTTTACTAGCCTCTGTACATGTACAGATCACTAAGCTTAAAAAGCGCCTTTAATTTCTGTGGGAAATTTGGCAGCATAGATGGTCTTCCAAGTTCAAAACCTGACAATTCTGGTGGAAGAGTCAAAATGCTAATAGAAAGATTCTTCTCCAGTGAAGTCTATGGCAAGTCTGAGATTTCAGCTAGACCTGGATTACACACCTTCTGGCATCACGATTATGTCTATTTAACGGCCCGTTTTCCCAGTCTGGTATAGGATTCTCACTGCTTGTCCTCTGAGTGTAAGGAATAAGACTAGTGTTGGTGGAAGCATGCTGGCTTCCAGTGAGAAACAATGAGAACTACTCATGGGCTTTCATGCTTTCTTTTTGTTTGTGACAGTCAGAAGCCACACACAAAATCACCCTGTCCTTATCCCAGATATCTCCTCAGACCTCATTGTCAGCTGAAAACATGGAGCAACTTTGGAGAATGTTGTCATTAAATCAGACAGTCCATCTTCCATTTGTTGTATCCCAAGACCTGGGAAACTTTAGCTGATTCTCCCTATTGCCGTGTGTCACAATGTGACAATACTCTTCAACTACACAGTCCAAGCTACTTTGCTAACCAACACACACTACATCAGCCATGGCATGCCTTAGCAAACAAACTAGCATGTAACTTGCCATTCCCTTTGTTCAGAACAGTACTCCTGCCTGCCACACTAATGCACTTTCTTCCTTACCTTCCTAACCACAATTTCTGCTCTGCCAAATTCTCTCCAAGATGATATTAGGAAAAGCTAAGTGAAAGAGAGAAATATATTGGTAGCCTCCACTGAATTATGCTTGGGGGAATGACATATTAAATGAAGAATATTATCAATATTACATCTGCCAGAGGTGAAGAAATACATGTAGGGGAGGCTGCATAATCCAGTCATTGCTTCATTAATCTGCAGCTCAGCAGAAGATGTCACAAATCCATATAATGTCCCTGAGCACTGGATTTTACATTTAGATGTGACTTGAGATGAAAGATATGTAAAATCACAAACAGAGAGCTCTCTGCTGACTACACAACCAAGGAAGCATTATTCCAGCAAGTACTGCACTGAAGAGCTAAAGCTTGTGCCATTTATGCTTAAGCAGTTTTAGGGATCCTGCTTACATGTGTATTAAACCCATCAGCACTGAGGAAGAACAGAGGCAAATGCTGAGTCTGGATATCCTGCAGAGATGAAAGTCATGACTCATTTTTTAAAGCAGGAAGGTGCGGAGATGATCAAAAGAGGTTCCTTCACAGAGGAATGAATTGTAGACTCATGGATGACTACTGCGTAAGTGCTACTGTCTGCCAGCATCCGCACTCTCCAAAAGCCTGAGAGAAAGCAATGACAAGGAGCATTTCCACATGGCAGTTAGCTGGAGTGTCAGGGCAGCACTTCCTGCTGTCTTTTAAATAATGCTAGCATGCCTGTAAGGATATGGTGAGCTCCAGGAGGCATTGTGTCTAACCTGAGGCTGTGCACTAAGCAGAAATATTCAAACAACATGCCACAGCAATTACTTTTGCTCAGTGTGATTAAATTTCTACCCTCACTCACCCTACAGAAAGTGCAGGGCTTGACCTCCAGATATAGTCAGATGTGCTTACAGAAATCAAAACAGTTATTCAGGAGTTAGTATGGGTCTACAAAAACCATGGCAGAGCACCCAAATTCACTGAGACCAGAGTTCCACAGGATAGCAGAGTCCTGGGTGATGCACAGATCCAGACAGAGTCTCTGGTTGGAGACTGACCCAGCAGAGAGATGGTAAGGTAAGAAGCTATTTCAGAATCAGTTACTTGCTGGGAAAGCTAAGGGTCCACCTAGCTTGACATACGATACCATGCAGCAATCCTCATTCAAATTTGCTAACCTTCCTGAGACCTGATGACTTTCATGGGACTTAGCAGTGGTGATTTGACCACTTCCCATGACCAAAGCAATGCAGAGCTATCTTCTGCCAAAATAAAGTCTATGCAGAGTTTCAAGTCTGTGACCCTTCTCAGTGAATATTCCTGTTTGTAAGTATTGGTTCTGCATATGTGTGACATAATGAAATCCTTCTCCTTTCTAAATTACATAACGTGTGAGGTGTCAACAAGAGCATCTCAAACTTCTAATGAATATTAGGCATGTTCATTGATGACTGTGACAAGAATGCCACGCATAGCAAAAGCAAGAATGCCACGCATAGCAAAAGCCAATATATGTGCAAATAGTCATTACTGATACAAACCACAAATGTTCTATAGGTGAACAGTGATGGATGGGTTAACATTGCTGTTTAATATATGACCCATATATTGCTTTGATATATTTATACAATAAATGACACAGTGAAGGAGTGCTAGTAAATACAATAGCACACTATATCTTCCCAAAATACTGGTAACATGTCCCCCTGAAGTTCTTGTGTTAGATAATGTGAGACAATATTTCATATTTATCGGCAACTTCTTGTTGCCATGGACAATATGCACTTCTAAAATTTCAGCTGAAAATGGTTAAAACCCTTAGTGAATGACATCAGATTCAGGTGGAACTTGGATTTGTTTAATTGTCTCATTGATGCATTTATAGACTCCTCCCTCCTGACCTGGGAGGCTGGAAGCTATACTGGCAAACTGCACAGCTCTTGAGTGATATCTCTTCTCTAAACTGTACACCACAAAGTAACCATTTATCAAGCAAGAAGAAAACAAAGCAGTGAGAAAACTGATGTCTTCTCTCTACGTGCCCTGCAGACCTAAGCTATAGAAGTCACCTGTTCTTACCAAAAGGGAAGCCACCTACTACTACCAGTAACCCAGCACTATTAACAAGTCTTGGATCAAGTTACTGGAGCATTTTCATTCCAGTGAATGGTTTGAAGTAGAAAGCATGGTGTCCTGAGGTTAGCAAAAAGATCTGCAGACTTGGAAAGGAATGTTTTGGTTCTTAGAGTCCTGGTTGGGAGCTCTTTACAAAAGGACAATATTCAGCACCCTACTGCTTAACCAGGGGCAGTACCAGTGATCAGAGTAGCTTCATTTTTCTTAAGATATTCATGAAAGATGGAAGCATAAGCCACTGTCTGCTGAAGTGGAGCTGCAGCAAAACCAGTGAAGAAGATGCTTTCATTCAAAACCATCTGGAAAGGTAGGCCCCTCACACTGCCCACGTCTTTCATGTTTTCAGTTACAGCTTCTTTCTTGAGAGGGAGGTAGGCATTCAGTGTTGCAGTGAGTGCTAATGATAATGATTAATGAGCAGTCCAGTTTTTCTGGGAAGCCATTGTGCTAGATAATAAAATTGCTTTTATCTCTACATCCTAGAGGAGAAGCAATAGTGATATCCTTTACAAGACAGGGAAAAAGAAGTGGAAAAAAATAGCCTCAGGTTTGGGGAATTAAACTACAACAAAAATGCTCAGCATTGTTTGAACATAGTATGTAAACAATAGTCTACATCTTCTAACATTCCTGCATGGTAGGTATCTCGCTGCATGTGTGAATGTGCAGTTGGACAATATGAGTTACAATCAATAAGCCAAGGCTTTGCAGAAAATCAGCGGTAGAACTGGAACTGGATTTAAGAACTGCCATTCAGTCCCACATTCCTTATACTTTAGGAAGTTGCTTGAACTGAGATATCAACACATTAATTTCAATCTTTAATTCCTACAGGTCTCTGGAAGACTCAGTTTAGCTTCTTGTGAAAGAAAAGAGCACTAGCTTAGTACACATTATAAATGATTTGCATTTACTTTCTGTTGTTTTAAAAAGCTTTCCTTAACAAGCTTTTCTCGCTGATAGTGCTCTTTTGTTTCCACACAGTAGACCAAAGAACAAACTAATACTGAAGCTGAAGAACAATAGCATCAAAAATACAACATCAGATTTCTTTGGAAGGTGAAACACAATATTTATCAGAATATGACAGATTTAAAATAGTATAAAAGTGCTCAGCAGAATGTGAAAGCAGGTATTACACTAGTGATTTGCATCCAGAGAGCTAGCAGCTATTCAAGATAGAAAATTGTGAAGATTTTTTTAAAAGATGTTGCTCATTTTGAATTGTACTTCCTTAAGCCTGCCAAAAATAGAATTTTCAAGAATCTGATTTATGATGTCAAATTACAATTAACTGCAATATTTTGAGGAACCCCAAAAAAACCCTGTAATTAAACCACTTGCATTTGATTATTTTTTTTAAAGAATAACTACACATTTCTTTAAAGGCTTTGCTTTCATCTGAAAGTTTAGACAAATCCGTATTTTATTCAGATTCTCTGCTCAGTGACTACACAGAGATCACCAAGCCATGGTGGCATGTTTTCCTCTCGCCTGCATTACATAATTAATGAAGTTTGTTATG